AAGAAAAAGAAGCCGTTCCACCGACCAGAAAAGAGAGCCCACGACCACCCCCAGAATGAAGAAGGGAGAAGTACGACGAATGCAAAGAGAGCCAGGAGAAATAACGGCAACTATAACCCGGCTCCCAAACGGAAGATTTACCCATCGGACAGAACTCTACGCAGCAAATGTCGACGAATTGCGGAAGAAACACCAGCTGCGGAGGCAAAGATACAAGGAAAATTTGAACGGCCAGCAACGAGATCCAAGCAGGAACGAGAGAGAAGTGTCCCGGTTCCGCCAAGACCAGCTGTCATCAAACGGCCAAGACCACAGGCAGAGGCGAAAAAGAAGGTCTTCAAGGGTGACCGAACTGGAGGGAAAAGAAAGCTCATAGAGGAAGGCACTGAAGGGCGAGCCCGCACAAGAAGGAAGATAAACCAAACGCTAATCTTTGCTACCTTCCAGGACTGGGCAGATAAAAGAATGTCCGAATATCACAAAGATAAGTAAAATTTATGTTACTTTGCAATTTTAAATTTCTAGTTTCTAGTGAGAAATGTTTGTAAAAGATTGGCCTCGCGTTAGATTCTAGAGCTAAAAGTTTTCAACAAGGTCGTTTTAGACCTCAGTTTCAAACTAATTAACTCTGGCGGGAAGTATGTAAGGATCTTAAGTTTTACTAACGTTTATTTTATTTTAAATCTTTACTATCACTTCTTATTTTTTACTTCCGGCCAGAATTAAAAGCTTTAACTTATTTATGCAAATTTGTCTTGCGAACGCCAAGTACTTAAGTTGTGGCTTTTTAAGTTAATCTTTCATTCTTACTGCAAGTGGCAGAATTCAAGACGTTTTCCTTCATGTGAGGTCTAACTTTATCGCCAAAAAGGCGAGAAATGAGTTGTTACCTATTTTGGTATTATGTTTTTCAATTACTCGCGAGTAAAACTAAAATTAATATATAATAGGAATGTGTATATACTTGAATATTGTAAAAGTTATTGTATAAAATTTTATTTAAAAGATTCTGGCAAGAAAAAGAAGAAGTTTTAGTCTGAAAGACTTTTGAAATGTAGTATTTCAATGTAGAAGAATTGGCACTTGCTTGGAAAAGAATAGAAGTTAACAATGTACTACTAATTTATGTATTAAAATGCGTAAAATTAACGGCATGTTAAGATGTCCTTATACAATGTGAACTGTTATGTTAAACGTTAAGAAATACTGTGATATGTTAAAAGTGAAAGTAATGCCAAAAATTTTTAACTTATTCGTGTGACTGTAAAAAGAGCCAAATTATGGTGAATATGTGTTAAAGGTTGAATGAATGTAGTTAGGCTCTCTGACGCTACACTTTAGAGTTAGCCACGTTCAGAATAGTACCTCAGGGTTTAGAGTTGAAGACAGGGTGTGTTACGAGGTCTTGTTATGTTGAATTTTAACACGTTAGTGTTTTGATTGTAGGCGGTAGTGTTGAACACTTGTACATAAACACGTTCGTGTTTGGTGTTTTCTTTTACAACACATATCAGAGAGCACGGGGAGAGAATTAAATAACGTCATCAATGAAATAAGAATGTTAAGAGAAATATAAATATTCATGTTACTTGCCATTTAATTGTGTAACATTTCATTAAACTAGTTTTCCTTCCAGATCTCTGGAAGGAACCAGATTTCCAGAAAAGAGAGCTCACGAACACCCCCAGAATGAAGAAGGGAGAAGGACGACGAATGCAAAGAGAGCCAGGAGAAATGACGGCAACTATAACCCGGCTCTAAAACAGAAGATCTACTCATCCGACAGGACTCTCCGCAGCAAATGTCGCCGAACTGCGGAAGGGCCACCAGCGGCGGACGAAAAGTTACAAGGAAAATTTGAACGGCCAGCAATGAGGTCCAAGCAGGAACACGAAAGAAGTTTCCCGGTTCCGCCAAGACCAGCTGCCATCAAACGGCCAAGACCACAGGCAGAGGCGAAAAAGAAGGTATTCAAGGGTGACCGAACTGGAAAAAAAAAGAAAAAAAGCTTCTACGGAGGAAGGCACTGAAGGGCGAGCCCGCACACGAAGGAGGATAAATCAAACAAACAATCTACGCCTACTTTCCAGGACTGGGCTCAGAAAACGGAATGTCGGAATATCACAAAGATAAGTAAAATTTTATGTTACTTTGCAAACTTAATCTTTCATTCTTACTGCAAGTGCAGATTTCAAGAAGTTTTACCTCATGCGAGGTCTACCTTTATCGCCAAAAGGGCAAGAAATGAGTTGTTACCGATTTTGGTATTATGTTTTTCAATTACTCGCGTGTAAAACTAAAGTTGATGTATAATAGCGATGTGTAAAGACTTAAAGATTGTAAAAGTTATTGTATAAATTTTATTTAAAACTTTCTGGCAAGAAAGAAGTTTTAGTCTGAAAGACTTTTTGAAATGTAGTATTTCAATGTAGAAAAATTGGCACTTGCTTGGAAAAGAATAGAAGTTAACAATGTACTACTAATGTATGTTTTAAAATGCGTAAAATTAACGGCATGTTAATATGTTCTTATATACAATGTGAACTGTTATTTTAAATGTTAAGAAATACTGTGATATGGTAAAAGTGAAAGTAATGCCAAAAAAATTTTAAACTTATTTGTGTGACTGTAAAAAGACTAAATCATGGTGAATATGTGTTAAAGGTTGAATGATGTAGTTAGGCTCTCTGACGCTACACTTCAGAGTTAGCCACTTTCAGAATAGTACGTCAGGGTTTAGAGTTGAAATTAGGGTGTGTTACGAGGTCTTGGTATGTTGAATTTTAACACGTTAGTGTTTTGATTGTAGGAGGAAGTGTTGAACACGTAGACAGAAACACATTCGTGTTTGGTGTTCTTTTACAACACATGTCAGAGAGCACGGGGAGAGATAATTAAAATAGTCATGAATGAAATAAGAATGTTAAGAGAAATATAATTATACATGTTACTTGCCATTTCATTGTGTAACATTTCATTAAACTAGTTTTCCTTCCTTCCAATTTGAATAAAAGCTCCTGTTTAGATGCAGTACAGATGAAAAAATTGTGTGTCCTGGGAGCTGCTATTGTAAAAACAATTTTTTTCTTTTAAATTTTTAGTTTCTAGCGAAAAATGTTTGTAAAAGATTGGCCTCGCGTTAGATTCTAGAGCTAAAATTTTTCAACAAGGTCGTTTTAGACCTCAGTTTCAAACTAATTAACTCTGGCGGGAAGTATGTAAGGATCTTAAGTTTTACTAACGTTTATTTTATTTTAAATCTTTACTATCACTTCTTATTTTCTACTTCCGGCCAGAATTATAAGTGTTAAAGTATCTATGCAAAGTTTGTCTGGCGAACGCCAAGTATTTAAGTTGTGGCTTTTTGCCAAGCGAGAGAGAGAGGAAGCAGTTAGTCGAAGCAGGCCGCTTACCTTAGAAGTTCTACTCAGTTGCTGGTTGCCTTCCAGGCCAGAGGTTTAATCCTCTTGATAATTTTAAACGTATTGTAGTGTTCACAGTTCTCTGTACTACATACGGCTTCCTGTTAATATAAGGCCAATCTTCCACGTTTATTATTTTAAAGTTAAATTAGAGTTTAGTTTTATTTTTATATTTTTTACGTTTAGACCACAAGTAGTGGGTCTTTGTATTCCGAAGTACGGAAGTTATTGTAAATAGAGAAAAATAAAGGGGTTTGTATACCCTTCTTGTGTATCCTGTCTACTTCCCACCATTATTGAACATAGCTTTAGTAAGCTCTCTGTTCCGAGTCAGGTCCTTGCACGTTCCCAAAGAAAGTAAGACGGAACATTGAACCTGATAACACCTGGCTGAGAACTATATTACGATAGTGCTACACGTTCCAGAGTACTGTTATTCATTTAGAACCAGTTGCCATATTCTTGTGGCCTTCAAAAGTGAAGCCTCTTCAGCAGGCACCTGAGAACACATAGTGAGAAGCCAGGCTTAATCTTTTCCACAATTTTCTTAAACCAAGTGGTCAACAGTCATACTCTTTTGAATTCTTAACACTTTCCTTCCCATGCAAAACCAAATGTAACATTCAAATACACAACCACAGGGTAAGGTATTCTCTCAGTAAACACACTTTAACATTTTATAAATGTTTGCTGCTTACTTCTGTAATTTACAGAAAAACCTGATGTTCCATGTGGAAATCCATGACAATGTGAACAAGAGGAGCTTCAGTTAATGATCTTCAGAGCTGAACACATCTTTACTTTTGTAATTCTTAATATGCGATGAAAAAACAGAAATATATTGTTACAATTCTGTACACAATGGGCTTCTTCTTTGAAGGTGAAAATTTTTCCGCTTCGTTCAAACCACCTTTGAACTCTGTCATCAAGAACAACAAAAATTTTACAAACAATCTAACTAGGATTTTTAACTTTTTAAAAATAAAAGAGCATAATATGATGAAAATAAATTTTTGGGTTTTCCATCCTCAGCACTGCTCTGTAACAAAATTTATGCCACAATACATGCTATAATTATGCAATGTAAGAAGGAAAGCCTCTTTCAACATCTGCTTCGATCAAGACCACTCCTTATCAACAGTAATAAAATAATTAAAAGAAAACATACTTTCCTCTGGAAAACTGCAGAGCTTTCTGTATGAACAAATAATTTGATACTATACATATTTATACATATTTACTGAAAAGGTAACAAGCTTAATTTGGAGTTAAACACCAAGCGCAGTTTGCAGAGCACCGAGCCCAATTTCAACTTTAAAGATAGTTTTTGTAGTGAGTAAATGTATTTATTCCTAACTCCATTCTGTTTTAAAACGATTTATTTAGAAATGACATTCCGAGAAGTTGTAGATATAATAAGAAATATAAATAAAACATTCCGCAAATAAAACATCTGTCTCAACATTTATCAAAAAAAGACCAAGTAGAAATATAATTCATAGCCATAAGTACATAAGACAGCCACAGTACTGCTTTCATATTATTACCAATAATAATTACACATAAATGTGCACCTACCTGTTTTCTAATGTTTAAGTACATTTGGTAAGAGTTTAGTAACTGATGCTGCTGCTGAGAGTCCTCACTGCTAGAAGAGGCTGATGACGGATTCTGAGAGCCATTCTCATTGGTTGCCTCTCTAGCTCTTAATTTTCGTTTACGAGGGTGTACATCTACTTGAATTTGCATTTGCTCATCATTAGAACTCTCTCCAGAAGCATCACCCTTCTGATTACTAGAGGAAACTAAATTTGAGTGTGTCTCTGAACTATGACATTGGCTAGAAGAACCACCAGACATTGCAGCTTGCATGCGCTGACTACTCCGTGTTACCCTCTGGAATCTTTCTTCTGGCTGATGTACATCTTCTTTTGATTTACTAGATGCTATTTCAGATTTTGAACCTTCCCTGCTACCCTCTCCTGAAAATGGCCCACAAACCGATTCGGAGTTAGTATCCACAGTATCAGAAGTTGTTGTATTTACAACATACGGCAGTGCTTGCTTGGAAGATGACACCTTACTTCTTTCACGAGTCTCTAACTCTAAAGATCCAGTGCCAGATGGAATGACAATTTTTAATGGAGGAACTTTTGGAGAGTGAGGACCAACAGCAGTTGGTCCATTAAAATTGGAAGATGACTCTACATTTGCATCATTCAATGGTGCTTCAGCATCACTTTGGTTACTCTCAGTGTCTGAACTGGATAAACTCCCTCTCTTGCGAGTTTTTGGACTCCTCTGGTCACCATGGCCTTCTTGCTGAGATTTGCAAGGCGATTTATGACCCCTACCTACATTATGGCGACTCTGAACACTGTCACTACTTTTCCTTCTTTTGCGACGACTGTCTTCTTTTTCTAAATCACTGGCACATTCTTTGCTACAGGAATCACTACTAAGACGTCCTCCATTAACTTTAGAAACAACATTTTCTGAAGTGTCCATTTTCTCAGAGGGTGCAGACTTCTCTGATACTTCAGATTCGTCTAATTTTTTACTATCTTTACTACTTTCCTCCACCTCCTTACATGTACTAGTTACAGCCTCAGATTTAGTTCCAGTTCCTTCATTTTCTGGAATTGATGCAAGATTTTGCGTAGATGAAACAGTGGCATCCTCTTTACGGAAGTCATACACATCACCTTTTGTTTCCATTGTAACACAATAGGATTGGTACTTAGGTTGAGAAGAACTAATGTCATTAACCTTGGCACTGCTTGAATTTTTGTCATCCCTTGATCTGATAGACTGAAATCGAAGAGTCAATCTTGGGGAGGTGGGTTTATCTGCACCTACACACACATACACACACAAAAAGGTAAAAAAAGATATAGTGAACATATTACTATATATACAATTTGCTTTTTGATTAAATTCTTTCTTTCTTAAATATACCTTCTGAAGGCCATACACCAATAAAGAACAATTTTAACATTTACACATAAATTTGGAGGATAATTCACTTTTATAACTATAAAATAACACATTTAGCTCTCATTAAAACATAACTACACTGCTAGCCATTAAAACTGCAACACCATGAAGAAAAGCACATACAAAAAATATAGTTAATGTGCATAAACAGTATGGCATGAAGACAAAATGGTCAAATTTGTAACCAGTCTGGGAGTTAAACTTATTAGAAACAGCTGCCAGCCTTACCCAGTCAGGCATGGAGTCAAACTGGGCTTCGATGACAGAAACGATCAACTCATTTCATGCTGCTTCACGTCTACATCACTCCTCATTAAAGCCCACCAGCGGCCGAGCGGTAACGTCGCTGAACACTGGTAGTTCGATCCGAGGTTCGAATCCCGCGAACGGGCTGGCTGCGTGGGCGTTTTCGTGGTTTTCCCCATGTGTAACATGTATACGAGCCAGTTTCCCTTAGAAAGTCCTCCACGAAGGCATCCCTTCCCTTAGGCAGATAGCCCTCGTGTGCTTTGCCATAATTAAATACACCAACACCAACACCGCTCTTCATTAAAGGTATTGGCTGGAGCGAGGAGGTGGGCCAGTCTCTCAGCAACCCATGCCCATATGTTTTCAATGGGTGACAAATTTGGAGACCCTGCAGGCCAGGGCAGCAAGCGAATACCCTGTGTATCGAGGAAGGTCAGAACATGAGGTGCAACATATGGTCTTGCATTATCTTATTGGAAAATGGCATTTGGCAGACCTCGAAGATAGGGCCCAACCACTGGATGTAAGATGTCAGAAATGTACCAATCTGCGTTCATCGATCCGAACTAGAGAAGTGCATGTCGTGTACTCAATGGCTGCTCAAACCATCACACCAGGTGCAAGGCCCCTATGACGATACTGAATGCAAACAGGCGACATGCGGTCTCCCACCATACATGTATGTGATCAGAATACTGCACGGAACTGGGACTTGTCTGAAAAGACGATGGTAAAAGTATATTTATGGGCAACCCTTGGTGAAAATTGGCAATTTTTCGCGGTATACGGACCAAACCGTTGATTTTTTAAAGCAATTCTCTGACTTGTTATTTTACCTTTGTGTAGCTGCGATTTTAATGCCAAAAATCACCGTTACACAAAAACAAAATAATAAGTCAAACAGTTGCACAAACTCAGTATCCATGTACACATCGACCTATTTTCACTTAAAAAAACATCAGAGAATTAATTGCACAAACTTGGCTTGGCGATAAATGAAACAGCTCCACGATAATACAAGGCGTACCCTTCAGTCTACTCTAACCAAGACAACATTCTGCCACTTCTGTATCCAGCTCTGTAGTTCAGAGCACCAGAGTCGCCGTCTCTCTCTATGCTGCAGGATTGTCAGCGAAGCCTAAGTAATGGCTGCTGCGCTGATAGTTCATGCTGCTGCAAAGGTCAACACACCCTATGAGCGGACACTGAATGTGCTGCAAATATGCCAATTTTCTGACTAATGGTCTGTGACTTGGTTGTACAGTTTTGCAGGGCTGACCTCACAATATTTCTCTCCTCTCGGGTGTTACCCATGGGAGGGCATTGAGATCCAGCATGCTGTTCAGCATGACCCTCAGTAATACATTGGTTCCATATTCATAGGACAGTGGTTGGATGTCGACCAGTGTGATGGGCGATATCAAGGAATGATCATCCACACTCTCGATAGGCAATGATCCTGCATCTAATGAATTACTTGCATCTGCATCTAATGACACTTCGTGGTAAACATTTCTTCTTCTTATTCGAGGCATAACACGATATTCTAAGCAAACTCCGACCTTACAAAGCGCTATCCGAATGAGAAAACCACTACACAACTTTTCTTTTATGGAGTTCTTAAGACATTGTTTCTCTCTGCCACATGGTCTAAATGCACTGAAATAGTAATCATTTGCATATCCCAATCTCTTATTCCTTTCATGTGATTTTGACGTTCGTCAGATGATTGCTTCCTAGTGTTGCAATTTTAATGGCCAGCAGTGTACAACGATTTTTTTTTTCTTCATCTTGGAATTATATATTTACATAAGCCTAATTTCAGACCATCAGTTTTTTTAACCTTTACTTGTGCTGCCTGAACAAAAATATGCAATATTTGCAGTGCACAACCTGACACTGTACATGAGAAAAACCAGCCCTTCTTTTCCATGAAGGCCAAATTTGAGTTCATTTTCTTTCAGTTTTAAAAGTGCATAATTATGGTTTGGGTTTCACACAGTTCACTTTGTTCTTTATTTTATAAGTCATTTTTAAGAATTTTAACATCATCCTTTTCTTTGGCAATGCCTAATTCACATGAGAGTACCTTTCAGATTCTTTAAGCTGAAAATTTGAAATTATATTAATTTTAGTTTTAAGTTTAACATTAATTTATTATATTTAGCTTTAATATACCATCTTGATGATCATATATCTATTCTGACATAATTAAAAATTCCAAATTAAAATGTATAATGATATATTAATTTTTACCCATATATGTCAAAATATTAAACATGGCAGTTATTCCATTTAAAGCCTAGTTTTCTTTCCCATGATTGCTCTCTTCAGCAATATAAGATATAAAGTGTATAAAAAATTTCCATGTTTGGCTCATTTTCCCAAAATATATGCCATACTTAAAGGGTTTAAAGTCAATAGATATTACCAACTTCCATCTCATAGTTTAAAGATTATAATTCTGATTTAGATCTTAAAAACATTGCTGTAGAAATGACCTTCAGATGTCTCATTTTTGGTATGCGAAAAATGAGCATTAAAAACTGAATTTGTCCGAAA